AACATCAGATTATGACTAAAAATCAAAAATAGCGATGATAGACCTCTTAAAATTAATATTAAGGGCTCAAATTTTCACGAAATATTTTTTTTGTCATTCTGAATGACATTCTCGTTATATTTTTCAAAAAAAAAAAATAGTCCATTTTTTTGGCCCAGTCTAGTGACACATGGCATTGATATACCAAATTTTACAATTCTAGTATCAAAATAAAAAGACGTGGCCAATCTTAAAAAGATAAAATGCATTTCAGTTTCCAGCTTTGACATTGATGAAAAGGATTCTATTGTTTGTCCAAATATCAAATCATTCAAAGGATCTTTAACCATTCGAGAAATTGTATGGAAAAACAAGCGCAATTTTCATTGGAAGTCAGAAAACTATCATGCATTGAATGTGCACTTTTAAACTTTAACGGAAACAAATAAAATTTACCCAAAAATTTTTAAAGTATTCTTTTTTTTTCAATAATCAAAATATTTTAAATTTCTATATAGAGTCATTCTATCATTTTTCACCAAATTTGACAGAAATTGAAAGCTGACCTCATTGGATTTTCTTAAAACTTTCAGGGTTCTTAGGATGAACAAAAACCATAATAATATTTTTTTCTTTAAACACCCTGAGAAAGTAGGCAGGGTGCATAAAAAATTACCAAATCGGTGTCTAAGAAAATCCTTTATAACTTAGTTTATTAATATTTTGTATCGCGTAATATTTTGTTTTACTATAAAACCTTGTACTTTTTAATATACGCCTAAAATTATACAAATGTTTTTACAAATGCAATTTTTTTTTGTGCTAAATTTACGCTTCTTTTAACTGAAAATGACAATTTTCTACCATTGATATTATAAAAATTTGATTTGGTGTATATTTTTATTTAAAGTAATTATAAATAACGATTAAAATATAAAATGCAAAATTATAAAAAAAAGTATCCAAATTGCAGGAAATACCATATGGAGATATCTTAATTCTTCAAAATTTAACAGAATTTTCTCAATATAATCCATAAACTGTAAAAAAAAATTGTGTATTTGCCTTGCTAGAAAGATACAACGGTTTAAAATACCATAAATTATATAGAATATGGAATTACTTTAATGGTATTTTTTATCAAGATGGCTTTGATAAAAAAAATGCTATTTAAAGGTTTTTGAAAAAGTAATATTAAATAGTAAAAATTAAGCTACATAAACAAAAAATATTTATTTTATTGTTATAATTAACAAAATAACGCATAATAATTAATATAAAATAAAACAAACAATATTTGTATTATAAGGTACAGAATGATAACATATTGAGGGCTATGTTATTTTTATTACTGTTAAATAATTTCAACCAATCAGATTCACTTATTTAATTTAACACAAGAACAATTTTGTTACTATGCCTAATTATTTGTATTTAGCAATACTTTTAACAGAGACTTTGCTTTTGAAATCAATCTCTTAACGGTTCTCCTTATTCCATGACAAGGTCCTTTTCCATGCAATGTGGCAACTCTGCTTCCAAACCAAAGTAATTTTTGTGAAATGCCAAATTAATAAAATTATATTTATTTTTATATTGTCCCCCACAACCATAAGTATAATATAATATTTTTTGCGAAAAATTTAATTTTATAAAATTAAAAGTGTAAAAAACAGTAGAGTTATGTTTTAAATAATCACCCTGTTGTAAATGACCGATTAATTCCTGTAGAAACCAATTGAAGTATTGGTTCGTATCAATGGGTCTGAATTGGACTTACTGGGTTTAATTGGGCGCGATATAAAACAGAAGTTGTTTTTTACTGGTATTTTCCATGATGGAAAAGTCCAATTAGGATTCTAATGTTTTTTATTGGTTTCGATTCGATAAAGCTACCCATGGGTAATTTCCAATTAAATTCAATTGGGCATTTCCAGTGTAAGATTCGAAAAAGGAATCTGCTAATTGGTTATTCCCAATACTTTAAAATATGGAAAAATCCAATTAGGATTCTACTGTTTTATAGCGGTTTCGATTGGATAAAGCTACCTATAGGAAATTTTCAATTGAATTCCATTGGGCATTCCCAGTGTAAGATTCGAAAAATCTGCTAATTTGTTATTCCCAATACAATAAAAATATCGCAAGAGGGCTCTCGTGTAGCTGCGCAAAACCAATGAGGTTGAGACGCCATCATAAAGAAAAAACAACACAAATAATTTTTTGGACGCCATTTATTAGCGATTTTTTTATTAGTCGATTTCTGTGTTAAGTGCCCAGTGATAGTAGTGTCCTTATATCTTAAAAAAATTTATATGTGTAAGGTTTAGGGACAATGGCGTAAGAATGGTTGTCACAGCGGACAAAATAAAAAAATTTGACATAAACAATATCGACTTTGACCATGCCTATAAACATCCTTTGCAAAAAAGTCAAAAAAATGATTATAACCGAGTAATTTTATTTATTTTTTATTACTTTTTTTGTGATAGTAAGTTATATGTATCAATACATACATACCTATATCACAAAAAAATTATAAAGAAATAAAATTACTCAGTAACAATAAATTTTTTGTCTCTTCTGTGAAAAATGGTAGGTATTTTCTAATCTAAATTTAAATTATTAATTGGTTTTAATTGGTTGGAATGGGTTTGGCGCTATGAATTACCAATTCATTCCATGTGTATTGGATTTAGCCATAGGCATGGATTGGTATTTTCCAATCCAAGCCCCTGACTTCATTGGAACTTACCAATAGGAATGCAACTGGAATGAATTGGTGATTCATAGCGCCAAAACCAATTCAAACCAATTACCTATTTTTATTGAATTCTATTGGTCATTTACAATAGGGCACGAAAAGAATCGAAAAAACACGTTGCTAAGTAATATTTTAACAAAAAGCATGAGTGCTGGTGGCAACAAAAATCCGAGTCGAAGAGGAGGATTTTTGCACCTGCACGAATGCATTTTGTTAAAAAATATTACTTAGCATTGTGTTTTTTCGATTTTTTTCACAGGAAAAATTAGATGCCCGAATGGTATTTGACAAGACTATTTCATGAGTAACAGTTAACAATTAAAATATAAATTGCAATTTTTGGTGACAACAGCTGTCAAGTTTTGCCGCGGCTAAACTCGAATAAACTGCTGACAGGTGATGTCACACAGTTTTTTCACCTAGAAACCATTTATAATTTAAAATTGCGCGTTTGTGATTGGTGGAAATTAAGACAAGGGAAATAGTCAGCAAAATCACCTTGGGAAGCAAATTTTTAAAATAAGCATATTTTGCCTGAGGTTTTGAAATATAATGATGCTTTTTTAAAGAATCTATTGCTGATAATATTTCGTCAATAAAATCAGAAACTGGTAAATTAAAGGTAAAGTAAATTACAAAATATTTATACACATATTTTGAAAATTATAATGTACTCTTATACATTCTAAAAGATTTTGAACATCTGTACTAGGTTCTTCGATATTTTGTAATAAAATATCAGATTTCATCAGTTTTTGACACTTTTCATTGACCAACGGAGCACAAAACATGTATTTTTTAAATTTAAAAAAATATAGTTTTTATATCAAAGCCTTCTTAAAGAAAAATCATATATAAATTTAGTGTCATTTTCTATAAAATTTGTCGCATTTTAAACCTTTGTATCTTCTTAGCAAGGCAAGGAGAACATTCTGTTAAATTTTGAAAAATTTTCATTCAGTCCTACTGGAAGAAAAAATGCATTTTTTTTCGCCAAAAATGGAAAATTTTATAATAAAAATGGTATTTCCTGCAATTTGGGTACTTTTATATTTTTGAATTTTATACAGGGTGAGTTTTAAGTTGACGCGTTCCTTTTAACAGCGTGTAGAAATCAGATAAACAAATAAATATTTTAAGTAACTTTTTTATCAAAACTCAAAAATAAGAGTTATAGGCCTTTCAAGTTTAGTTAAATTTTGAGCCGGTCCTGGCTATTGTTAACAAAAAACATAACCATAAAAATAAAAATAACAAAATAAACAATGCAAAATGTCATCTATGACAACAAACATAACCATTTAAATCAAAATGACATTTAGCAATGAAAAATGTGCCTCAATTATTGTTAAAAATGGTTCATAATTATAGCAATAATGAATTAGTGGAAATGTTACTAATTTATGGAGAGTGTCGTCAAAATGCAAATGCTGCAACTTAAGTAAATATTGACATTTTTTATTGCAAAATGTCAATTTGATTTAAATGGTTATGTTTGTTGTCAAATATGATATTTTGCATTGTTTATTTTGATATTTTTATGGTTATGTTTTTGTTAACAATAGCCAGGACCGGTTTAAAATTTAATTAAACTTTGATGGGCTATAACTTTTTTATTTTTGAGTTTTGATAAAAAAGTTACTTAAAATATTTATTTGTCTAGCTGATTTCTACACACTGTTAAAAGGAACGCGTCAACTTAAAACTCACCCTGTATTTTAACCGTTATAATATCAATGGTAGAAAATTCAGTTTTCAGTTAAAAGCATGAATTTTGCACTAAATAACTGCAATTGTAAAAACATTTCTATAATTTTAGGTACATATATAAAAAGTACATTGTTTTATGGTTAAAACAAAATATTACGCGATAAAAAATATTAATAAACAAAAAAGTTACAAAAGGATTTCTTAGAAACCAATTTGGTAACATTTTATGCAAACTGGTCATCATAGCTTTGCCTAATTTCTCAGGGTGTTTAAATAAAAAAAATTTATTGTGATTTTAGTTCATCCCAAGCATTGATCTTCAAATCCCAAAACTTTTAGTAAAATCTGAGATGTCGAGCCTTTGTCATTAGGTGAAATTTCATGGAATGACTCTATATAAACATCTAAATTTTTTTTATTTTCTAAACCAATATAATTTACCTCCCAAATCATCTTGATCCAAGTTTTATATCTTGTATTCAGATTCTGATAATGCTTCTGGCTCACCAAAACAGATAACTTCAAAAATATTAAGTTATAAAGATGTTTATTCCACTTCAGATGAGGAGACTCTAGCATCATGTCTCATCAAACAAATTAAAGTCCAGAGCCAACTCTAAATAATAGTCAACAATACACATTTTTCATTAATTTTATTTTAATTTTTATTTTAAGTTTAATTAAAAAAAATAAAATAACAGGCAACAATTATACACTTAAGGAGTTACCTTTTTCATTACTTTGAATTTTTATTTTTAGTTAAGGATTTTAATTCTTATTTTACTTAAAAAATACTAAATAAACGTTTATTTTAATAAATAAATCAGTTTTCTCATCCTTACCTCAGCTTTGTTAAACCGCCTTCTATTTTTTAATTTTTTTTTTACAAATATAACAAAAATTTTTGTTTTCAAAAACTAAATCTTAATTTACAGGTTTTTTAAAGAAAGACCCTTATACCTAATGCAATAAATGATTTGTTTAAATCTTTTATACCTATATCTATTTTTTACATTTCTATATATTCTACTTAATTCTTCCATTTACGACACTTTGATTTCTGGCAACTGCTACTCCTACAACTACTACTCCTACTGCTACTTTTTAGAACTATAAATCCAGCACCTTGTATAAAAAATATTTTTTCTATGACCACTATGTCTTTTCATGATGGCATCGTTGCTTAGAAAATGAATCTTCTCATTGGCAAGGCAAAACACGAATGTAAAGTGACATTTCTGTGTGAAAAGTGACAGGTCTGTTTGAAAAGAACCAGAAAGCATCGTTTGACATTCAGCAGTCAAAAAAGTTTTTAGATTATTTTGTTTTGTATTTAAAAATAATAAAAAATAAAAGGGTCGCAGAAAAAACATTGTGTTATACTTGTGAGAAAAGCTTTCTTCAAGCTTGTGTTAATGCACACTCGGCCTAACGGCCTTGTGGGCAACTTAAAAACTCGCATGAAAAAGTCGCTTTTCAACACTTGTAAAACAAATAACTATTGTATACTACCACAAATGTCATCTGCCCACTCATAAAATATTATTAGGTAATTATACTTACATCAATTGTGGAATATTCCACTAGATCTATTTTATTTCCTACTAGAACTACAGGACAAGTTTCTTCCAAATGATTTTCTCGAATAAGAGGTATCCAATAGGATGATATCCTATCAATACTGTCTTCATCATCTACTGCATAAATAATACACACTACACTTGCTCTTTTAATTTGGTCATGTAATTCAGCTTCATTTTGGTCGGAAGATGAGTAATCAACTATATTTGTTGGTACTTGTTCAGGGGTTACATCAGCAGGAATAGTAATTTCTTCAGCTTTATTTGGAACATTTTCAGGAAACTCTTCACTAACAAGTGATAATATTAAGGATGTTTTTCCAACTCCTTGATCACCAACAAGTAGAATACGTACGTGTTTTCTTATGTTAGTTTTTACCCCCATGTTTACAGTTTTCTAAATGCAATACCTACATAAGATAATTAAAAACTTGATATTTTAATAAAAACCCTTACATTTTTAAATACCTTAGCTTGAATTATCTGTTTTTGACTTCGAAAACATAATAATTTTTAAAGCATAATTAATTTAACCCACAGGTATTATTTTTATAATTTTACCGAAATGTCATAACTTTATAACCAGCGCTGCCAACTAAAAAAACGGTTTTCCCCACATTATGTGGTAAAATTCCCCACAGCTTCCAAAAATTCCCCATACTGAAAAACATAGATAAAGTTTTTATATGGTGAAAAACAAATAACTGAACCTGAAACTGAAAATTTTTCTTTTACCTTATCATGTAGTTCAGAATTACAAAAACAGAAGCACTGTAACATTTGGAGCAAAAATTAGGGAAAACCACAGACCTGTGGTCTGTGGGGAAAACTATAAATTCCCCGAAATTCCCCACACTATTAAATTCCCCACACATTACCCGTAACAATGCTAAATTCCCCGCAATTTGGGGAATTACCCACACATTGGCAGCGCTGTTTATAACTATACAGTGCTTGCAAATCCAAGTCCGACCGGTTTGGGAAAGACGCGTGAAAATAACAAGGATAGAACGCCAAACAGAAGGCGCTTACAATACGCACGCCTGACGCTCTGACCAATCAAATTCTTTTCACGCGGGTATTGAACAACCATCCTTTCCAACGCGGTCGGACTTGGATTTGCAAGCACTGTATATAGTCACGGCCAAATCTGTATGGGTGCACGTCATCAACGGCATATGACGTCAGCGTTAAGGTCTATTCATACGTGCCCAGACACAATCTAACGCTCGTGTATTGTTGACTGTTTATAGCGGTGGGGGCTGTTATTAAGATGGAATTATAACGTCCTTGTTATAATCTTCTGCACTAACTAATTAGGAGTTTGTTACAGGCAAATTTTTATTAAATGTGTTTAAAGAGAAAACAAACGGAGTTTATTACATTTTTATTACATATGCACATAACAAAAAAATACTAAATTATCAGAAACACAAAAATAATAAATTACCAGTCGTCCTTGTCATCAGAGCAAACCAGGTCAGAATTGAAGTCTGATTATTTCCCCAAATTTATTATTAAGGGCGCAATCTCTTCGAAATCTAATAACGGCTAGTTGCCAACAAGCCTTATATCATTGTTTGCACAATCCAGGGATAGAATCTTATAAACATAATGTATAATATTATTTATAATAATTTGCAACAAACGATGCTTTCGGACGAAATGTCACAATTACAAAAATACGTCAAATATAAAATGACAGCGACCCATCAATAATATTGAACGGTGCGCGCCAGCCTTAAGCTATTACCAACTGGCACACACAAAAATTACTAAGTGAATGGTTTTATTTTGATAATTTCGTGAAAAAACGTTTTAAAACAAGGAAATTGTTACAGTTTTTGGTAAACAATACGCAAATGAATGATTTCTTTTTAATAACACATCAGAATTACGCCTTAAAAAAGCAAATTTAACGGCAGTAACTTTACAATTCAAAGTTGGTAATGCTGACGTCATTATATCTCATTGATGACGTGCACCCATATAGATTTGGCCGTGACTATATACGCATGTTCATACCAACCTACCAGTGTTGCCAACACTGGGCAAGTCCATTCCACTAAATGGGAGATCAAAATCCACCAGAATTCCACTTAGTTTTTTAGTAAAAAATCAGGGTGGTGTCGCCCTGGTAAAAATAAACAACACATTTTAAAAACAAAGTAACTATAGTCCATTCCATTTAAGAATAAAGTAGATGTCGCTGCAAAACGAGACAGGTTTACACGGGAGTACGCGGCAAATTTAAATATAATGGCAGATGTCTTTGATAGAATATTATTTTGTTACAACAAATATGGACAAATCATAGCAACCTTGAATGTATTATACCATGAAAAAATAATTTACAATACCAATTAAGACCTTTAGACACAGAAAAATACATGTATTATATTATTTTCAGAATATAAGAAGGGTAATTCCATTTATTAGCCACCAATCATTGGTGACCAATGCATGAGTGCACCTCATATACTCTAATACTCTAATTTTATTTCTTTTTTAACTGTAAATAGACATGGACCCAAGAAGTAAAAAAACTCCCCTTTTCTTTTTTCCCCCTATCACCTATTTATACAGGGCTTCGGAAAAGTTACTATGCAGACCTAACTTAAAAAAATTGTACTTTTTTTGCTAATAAAGCTATCGACATTAAACAAACTGTTAATTGTTAAGAAAATATTTCTCTTTTAAACCATATAGGACTCATTTAGTTATTGATGCCCTAAATGGTCTTTGGAATTTTTTTTTAAAATGCAATTTTTTGGTAAAATTGTCTAATTTTATAAATTCATATATTCTTAGAACTTGCCAGCAAAATTTTTTTAATGTAGTTTGTTACTATAGATGTTACTCTATATAAAAGCAATGAAAACATTTTTAAATAATATTGGCTAAGAGTTCAAAAAAATATAATAAAAATTCATGTTTTCGAAAAATCACTATTTTCAGCCATTTCATGGTTTAAAAAGGCTATGTTTGAGTGAGTCGATTTAAACCAATTTATGCTTATCATCACATGCACTTATTAGCCTCCAATATCCATTAATAAAATTATTGTGTATTTTGCTTTTAACTGGGCTGTGGCTGTATCACAGACTACCACTGGTCTGTGGGCTGTATGTACAGCCCAGCTATAAGCAAAATACACAATATGCCCACCTGCAGCTGACTTTCAGCCATTTCATGGTTTAAAAAGGATATGTTTGAGTGAGTCGATTTAAATTTAAATCGACCAATTTATGCTTATCATCACAGGCACTTATTGGTTTCCAATAATCATGAATAAAATTATTATGTATTTTTCTTTTAGCTGGGATGTGGATGTATATGTCCACCTGTGACTATATCCATATTATTAACCATAGGTATATTTCGAAAAAGCGTATTACATCTTTAAAATAACTTGACAGCCTTGAATTGACTTCTAATTCATTCTAAATAAAAATATAAAATATAAAAACCACATACAGTGGCGTCGAAGGGGCCGGTCGACTTTAACTCACTCCGAATTTCCAATTTTTATTGACATCATTAAAAAAAGGGTGTTTTAAATAGTCAATATCAAAAATAAAAAATGCGGGTTTTTAAGTAATTTTTGAGAAAATTAAGTTTGAAAATGTAATTTTTAACAATTTTTTTGACATAAAATGTCAGATTCGAAGCAATGTTGCCAGATGTAATATTTTTACCTTGTTTAGGGAAATTCGGTATGCAACCCAGTTTGCATTCTAAAATAGGTATTATTTATAAATATGAATTATACCATAAATTAAAGAACTCTCTATACATGTTGTGTTAATAAAAAATAATATAAAACAGATTTTTAAAATGTATTTATTAAGATAACAATTTTATATATAAAGATTGTACATACTTTTTAAATTAATAGATGAAACAACAAAATAAACTCTTAATTACCTATGCAACAAATATAACAATTAAATATAACATTAATAGTGTCTAATGTAGGGGCCTATTTTCATATTTTATCTTTTGTAATTTCAATTCTGATTGATTGAAACTTAATAGGTATGTTGTTTTACTCTGTGGTATATACAAATTAGTAGTTTACCTATTTTTCCAAATAAAAAAACACATTTAAAAATTAGAGATAAGTACAAAAACCATATACAAACAAATCACATTACTGTATAATATTTAATAAATACTATGTATAATCCCAGATAGCAAACGTGAATACGAAATCACGCGTGAGTGAATAATGTGTGCTATATGATTTCACACGTGAAGTCTTGAACTCGTAATTCACACGTGAGTAGATTATGAATTCATATTATAGTCTCGTGTGATTTAATCGATTTTATTTTAAAATACATGGATTGCATGATTAAAAACTGCACGTTTAAATATAAATAGAATATTAATATTCTAATATCAAAAATATTATATTAATATATTTTCATTTAATATTGTATGTCATTATAATAAATTATAATTATCTCTGGTAACACCCTCCCTTTTCCCATGTCATAAGACATTTTCAGTCACAATCTTTATTTTAAATGTTTTAAAATACACAAATTAATTATTATATGTATTAAATTAATACTATTAATTATATAATATATTAAGTTATAAGTAGTTATATTATACAATTATATATTATAATATATATCAGTGGCGGATTGGGGATTTTGGGTATACCAATATCTCAGTTATTAGACATGGGACCCACACCAAATTTATAATAGTTTATTATGACATTAAATAGACAAGTTCGGCGCAAACAGAATTTAAATTGAAGTTTGCGCAAAAAAGTTAGTTTTTTGTGTCGCCTCACCTGGCTTCTGGCCCCCCCATTTGAGATAATTCAAATTAAAGTTGTGCAATTTATACTTCACTATAATTTATCGGTAAATTTAAAATTTTATTTGAAAAATCCAAATATTACAGATTTTATACCATATTAAATATTTTTTTATTATAATAAAATAAATAATAAAAATTTAAAATCGTATAAAATCTGTAATATTTATATTTTTTAAATAAAATTTTAAATTTGTCGATAAATTATAGTGGAGTATAAATTGCACCACTTTAATTTGAATTATCCCAAATGGGGGGGCCAGAAGCCAGGTAAGGCGACACAAAAAACTAACTTTTTTTCGCAAACTTTAATTTAAATTCTGTTTGCGCAGAACTTGCCTATTTAATGTCATTATAAACTATTATAAATTTGGAGTGGGTCCCACGTCTAATAAGTGAGATATTGGTATACCCAAAATCCCCATTGGCCAATCCGACACTGATATATATTATTATAATTATACATATATAATTATATATATTATAGTAATTACATAATATATATTGGTTTAAAAGGTCACAATTATATGTTATAGGTACATTAATAAT